TTCGCTCACATAGGAGGGTAAGTGTGGGTGTCAGTCGCGGCCCGGATTTGGGTCGTGACAATTGACTTTCTATGAAAACAATTGATAGTTAAATGACTATTGAGTTGAAAATGAAAGTTAATTGACTTTCTGTGAAAACAATTGCTTGTTGAGTGACCATTGAAGTTATTAACTCTTTGTTTTTGTTAAAGTTATGATCTACCACAACATGTATTAAGGTTTTGTTTAACTAGAAGTTTTGTGTGTTTGTATTACCATCTTTTGCTATTTTATTTGTGTTTGATGCATTTGATCCCAATGGGAACATCACAATAAAATGGGATTTCATAAAAGAGAAAGTTTTCGCATGGGCTCATCATCTGATGCAGAACCGAAACGCAGTTTGGTCACAGTCAATGGGAATAATACAACATGAAGACAGGACGCATGTCAGCTGGACACCAGATGGATATGTCGTAAGGACTAATTTATTTCCCTTTACACTATCAGCGTGGGCATAACTCATTAGGATTTTGTGAAATGGACTTGTCATTAATCATTATGGTTATTTGGACAGGCTGTGGTGACTATAAACAACTACCAATAGTATAGGCATATTCAACCACCAGGCTGGAGTTTGAAATGGACATGGGCAAAGGATGAAATGATACGGAGCATGCTAGGAAGTCAGACTACGGAGCAAGGTGATTGCTCAAATTCAAAGGAGATATTCCTCATTACTGTGGGAAGGATCAACAGTTATCGACGTGTTGCATGAAGCTCCTCACAACCAGCAGACTGCAAATTGTTGCAAGGGAGGAGTTGTCAACTCATGGGGCCAGGATCCTGCAAATTCCATTATTTCATTCCAACTCACTGTTGGTTCTGCTGGAACAACCAACAATACAATTAGAATACCTAAGAACTTCACTTTAAATGCACCAGGACCTGGATATATATGTTGACCTGCTAAAATTGTTAAACCAACTAAATTTGTTACTCCAGATGGGAGAAGAGTGTCACAGGCTTTGAGTAAGTTATTAATATCATGCTCATTTGTAAGATGCAGTTTCGTACAGGCTAATTTCTAAACTCTGTCATGTTGTTAATGACAGTGACTTGGAATGTCACATGCATATACTTACAGTTCATGGGTCATAATAATCCTACATGTTGCGTCTCTATATTGTCATTATACAATGACACAATTGTACCATGTTCTTGTGGATGCAAGAATAGTGGCACTAAACCGGGAAGTTGTGTTGATTATGTCCTAGTATATTTTTTTTGGGCACACCTTAATTGTTGGAATTCTTTTGTAATTTACTATCGGTGTACTTCCCCTTTCTTTTATTGTAGGTCAGAAAAGCCGCACCTAGCTTCAATTGTTTCGGACCATGGAAAGAACAACTTTACTCCTTTGGTCCAGTGCACAGATCGTATGTGTCCAGTTGGAATTTATCGGCATGTGAAGCTCAACTACAAGGATAATTGGAGGGTTAAAATCACTATAACAAACTTCAATTAACATATGAATTACTCATAGTGGAACTTAATTGTCTAACATCCCAACCTTGATAACATCACTCGGCGTTTCAACATCAATTACAAGTCATGAACTCCTTATGGTGATCAAATAAGTAAGTTCTCTATCTAATATATAAAATGTGCTACCTAAAAAACAGTTACTACTTAGACATTAGATAGATTTTCACAGCTGCCCCGTACTTTAATCTAGAATCAGAGTTACGTATCAAACGATCACTTAAGGTGCACTTAATCCCTAAAGCTAGCTGTGAAATAGGTTGAGCACTACACCATGCATTGTACCAGTGAGACAGCACTAAGAAACAAATATTTCACTTAATTATGAATCCGTTAAATTCCTTATTTGCATTTTGAGCTTAAATTTCCAATAAACATCTTTACTTGTTGCCATTCTTTTCGTTGGAATATTACTTTATTGAGTTAGTTTACATATTTATGACTAAATTCCTGATCTTTTCCACAGATGATACTGCAATGTTATGGGGAGTTTAATCCTCTAATGATCTACTTGTGCAACCTGGTCCTTCAGCAAATGTCCAGTTTGAACTTCTACTCCAAAAAGATGCATCAAATTTAACATTAGATAAGGGATGGGCTTTTCCTCGCAGAGTTTATTTCGATGGTGATAACTGTGTCATGCCACCTTCAGAGGCATATCCGCATCTGTCAAACGATATTCCAGCCATGCCACCTCCTGATACAGATCCACATATACTGAATGCTGCTTCCCAGTGGAAGGTCTCTTTGCTTAAATTAGTAGTTACACTTATGTTCTCTATGGCATTCTTCTTTTGCTAACACATAGAAGTCTTATCACTTGGAATTGGTCAGTGCCTATCAGTAGATTTCCCCTAGCTGTTGGATCACATGTTTTCGTTACATGCTGAAATCATATTATTTTGTATGTTTCTCAAGCTCGTTGAATGCTTCTGAAACCTTTTTTTTTGTTCTATCTGGTGCAACTCAATGGAACTCAGGATTTGCAGTTTATGGCTTCCTACAAGTCTATAACAACCTCGAGTTAATATACAATGATAATAGAATTCATAGTTATGTATTTGGGTAAATTTCTTAATACAAATACATGGTTTAGGCAAAAAACCTACTAGGTTCACTTGAACTCAGAATATTGTATAGCAGTAACTAGAGAATATTACATAGAATGTTTGGTAGGACTAACATAAACTGTACAATAATTTGCTTCCTTTTATCTCTTATTTCTATTGTGTATAAAATACCAATGTAATCGTATGTATTGAATCAACAAATTGAGATGATCATTCTTCAATTTCTCTCGTGATTTTTTTGTTATATACAACATTTTGCAATGTCTTATGAAGTATTTGATTTAAGCAGTTTCTGGAATTCCGGGACCATTGAACTGACATTAACAAAGTTTTTAATATATTTGTACTGCTTGTCATGAACCTGCATGCTCAAATACTCTAGATTGCAGTAATAAAAGTTGATGAAATCTTTCTTCTATCAAAGACTTTTCAAGTACGTGTATTACCGATACTACTGAAATGGTTGCTTGGCTTCAAAATTTTTACTTGTTCACAAACTAGTGAAATGATCAAAACAGAACAAGTAAAATCAAAAGCATAGAACGAAACAATGTTGAAAAAGCATCCAGATTCTGGTGGGCAAAATTGGGTAAATATGGATAACTATCTGGTGGTGGTAGCATGCACTCATCGCCATTGAAGTATACTTTTCGAGGAAATGCCCATCCTTGTTTAAGGGTAAAAGTATCCTTATTTTTCTGGAGAAGAACTTCTGATTGAACATTTCCAGCTGGCCCTGCTTCCATAAGTAAGTCATTGTAGAACTTCATACCGTAGAACATACCTGTGTCATCTGCAGTACAAGAAGTTTTGTTAAAATCTTTTCCACACCATGCTACGTTTTGCTTACAAGATTAATTTCACTAGCTATAATAGTAAAGTCACAAGATTATTTATTTGTCATGTTAATGTAACTGAACTTTACCTAGTATGACTAAGATTGTTTTGTGGCTTACTGTTATAGTGGGTAGTCAGACATGAAATTAGCTCTTATATTGATGCAATATTTCAAAGAACTTACTTATTGATTGATATGGAACAAGAGGCTTGTAATCAAAGCTAAAAACTTGAGTTACATTGTTAAGATTTGGATGTTGAGCAACAAGAGTCCACTGTGTGTAATTGACCCTGTAATTGAAGTTGGTAACAGTAATCTTGACTCTCCAATATTCCTTATAGTTGAGTTTCACATGCCAATGGATTCTAACGGGGCACATATGTTGGGTGCACTGTAGTAATGGTGCATTGTCTTTTCGTGGAGTGTTTACCCCCACCATACTGAGTAGCTTGGAATCGCTCCTGTGTTTGTGTCACGAGAGAATCAGTAATGTTTAACTGACTGTAAAAATAAATCACGAGGGACTTACTTGATGCATTTGTGTTTGTTCTCACAACCGCAAGCACAAGAAGGACAAGAAGTAATGGTTTCATTGTAGAAAGTTGAGAGGGAGACACAACATCTTGGATGTTTTTGAGCTACAAACTGAGAGTATGTGCATGTTAAATTCCATGTCACTGCACAGGATTACACAATAAAATGATAAGGCAATTACATTGTCCTCGAAAAGCTGGGATCACTTGTACACATGCGGAGTAAGAAAGAAGCAACTTACTGAGTGCTTGAGTTTTTCTTCTTAGATCAGGTGTGAAGAATTTGGTTGGCGGGACAATCTTTGCAGGACTACAAGTGTAACCTGGTCCAGGTCCAAGCAAAGTGAAGTTCTTGGGGAGTTTTACAGTCTTGTTTGTGGTACCAGCTTGACCAACACTAACTTGAAAAGCAGAGACGGAAGATTGAGGATCTTGGCCCCAAGAAGCCAAAACTCCACCTTCAAAATTAAAGGACGTACGAATTGTGAGCTTTGGACCAATCTAGTTTTAATAAATTTCTTCTTCATTTACCTTTACAACAATTAGTAAATTGTTGGTTATAAGGTACTCCAGGGAGCATATCTACAACAGTGGGAGTCTTCTTGCAACAATGCGGAATATTTCCTTTGAATTTCGAGCAATCACCTTGTTCTGTAGCTTGAGCACCAATCATAGTCCATATCACTTCTTTCTTCGCCCATGTCCACCCTAATGTCCACCCAGGGCTCATAATGTGTCGGTACATTTGGAAGTTGTTCATCGTTACCACAGCCTAGGAGCGAACAGACAAAGATTCCCCGCGATAAGCTAGGTCACCACTTCCAACAAGTATAACATTAGTTCTTAAAAAAATTATGAGAATTAGGAAAGGAGACTTACAACATAGCCATCAGGAGTCCAAGACATGACATCCCATTTAATAGTTATATTCCCATTGGGATCCAATGGATCATAAGCAGCTGAAACATTCATCCACATACTAATTACTGAATTCTTACAACATATACAACAAAAATTAAGTACCATGAATACAATTATTGAATCTATAAAACTACAAGTTAACCTGCATAACCAAACAAAAGGCCAATTAGAGTGATCAAATAAATCCTCATTATTTTTCTTTAGAATATTGGCCTCAAAGATGTTCAATTAATAAAACTTTGAAATATGGGGATTAACCAACTGGTTAGTTGGTACAATAAAAATAATATAAAATATATATATATAAAGTTTGTTGTCTCTGTACATCTCCTTTTCTTCATAGGACTCTGTTTTATATTGTTGTTGGCCTTTCTGAATCTTAAAGCAAAGATTTGGTGAGTCTTCCTATTTTTCTGCCTCAAACTTGACTGTAACATTTCTCCTGTGAAAGTAAGATGACACTTTGATAAATGACATAGTAACAAACATGAATATTGTTTTAACTTTTATAACAAAATCATTGGGTTATCATCCTAAGCAACTGTTAAAGTTAATCTCACATTTATACACTACTACTAGAAACAAAAGCCTGAGAAAATTTATTTTAAAACCCAACAATTTATGCTATAGAATATGATTTTTCACACATTTTCCATTCAATTAGCTCACCAAGAAAATATATGATGGAAAACAAATTATTCTTTCAAATTTTTCCAAATGAAACAATTACTATTTCCATAAATATTTATGGAAATAGCCATGGAAAATCTTTCTATGAGAAAATAATGATATTTTAGTAGTGTTACCTCTATTAGGTTTGCTTTCTTAGTAATTGTTTCTTTTGTTTATTTGTATGCATGCAGAAAAATAAGAGAACTTTTAGTGCCTTTTGTATTTAATTTCTTATTTCATATAATATTGCAATAAATTGAATTTAAATGGTGCAACATAAATAGTATGGTTTCATATAGCCAAATCTTTCTTTGCTCGAGACTGAGATACAACAGCGTACTATTGTGTTTGGTTTACTTTGCGCGTACTACAATTATTCCACTGAGCACATGTTACCTTCACTAGCATGTATGTCTATATGTATTAGATAACTATTTCCTAAGCAGTTCAAGAAAACCAAAAAAATTAAATTTATGTAGCTTTTATTTTTAATTTCTATTGAAATTTGAATATAATTTTCCATAATTCTGACCCTACTTGGTTAGTTACACCTTTGAATTCATCATTTTTTAATTTAGTGAGCGTGAATTTTTTTTTGGTTGGATTTGGTAGAAGTCCCATAGGGTAACTTTCAAGTATGCAGCAGGATGATATATGAATGCGAATGTGTCTAGTAATTATTATCGGGAGCGGCTCAAATGTATTAGAGGCTTAAAGCAAAAACTAAACGGGACCTTAAACTTAAATTGTTAATACTTTTATATAATTTATTTCTTCTAGTTTTCACCTCATAATATAAACATTTTTATTTTAAATTATTTTTCATAAGATATAGTGCTCAAAATATATCATATTTCTTCTAATAATCCCTTCATTTTTCATGAAATGTTTATTTTTTCTACAAATAGTATTCAATATTTGTTAAAAATAATAACTTATAACCTATTATTATAAAAAAATGAGGCCCCTTAAATTTGGGGGCCTAAGGCACGTGTCCTTTTTTTAACACTGTCGAGCCACCCCTGATTATTATCTTTGTTTTACAAAGAATGATCTTGTTTGACTTGACACAAAATTTAAAAATATAATGAAGACTTTGAATTTTGTGGTTATAAATTAAAATTATGTCAAACATATGAAAATATTCTTTGATCTTGATGTTTTAAATATGTCATATGAAAAATAAAAATTAAAATATTACAAGAAAAAAATCATTTTATTTTGAAAGGAAGTGTAAAAAATAAGAAGGGGAATTCAGAAGAGTAAATAAATGTATATGTTTGGTAGGGACAGTAGGAATGTCTCTGTCTAAAAAGACACTACTCCAACTATGTTATTAATTGTAGACTTTATTAAATGCTTCATTCAATTAATTTTCTCCGGACAAGCTAAAAAACTAGTCTTAAGAATTGAAATGCAAGATTTCTCCCAACTAATATTAGAAAATCTAGACTAACTAGAAGATCTATACAAACTAATTACTCCCTGTCTTCAGAAAAGAACAGTTTGGTAGAAAGAATGAATTACTTTCTCCGTCTGGTATTATTTGTTATGGTTTTTATATTTAGAGTCAAATTATAAAAAATTTGACTAACATTTTAAAATATATTTTTTCATTATATTAATATGTAAAAAATTACAATTTATAGTCATTTTCTTATAGTTTTAGAATATCTATTTTTTGGTTTAAAATATCGAATTAATGTGATCTAATTTAACTTTAAAAATTAGTAAAATTGACTTTCGAAAAGCATAACATGACAAACAATAGCGAACAGAGAAAATATATAATTTTTGGACGAAAACTTTATTTGTTTGGTAAGTAACTTTAAAAATAGTTAAAGTTCAATGATTTTATTGATATAATAAATAGAGCTTACTAATCATACATATATATTTCATGAATCACTTCAGAAACCTAAAGAACTTTTACTCGTTAGATGAACATTATTTCCAAAACAATTCTATAATCAAGGTAAGATGACATAGTGAATAAAGATTTAAAACTCCAATAACAATATCGAAAGCCAAAATATAAGGTTCTAGTGTGAAACCAACCTTTACCATAACTCATGTTGACACCAAATGTTGGTATGATAATTTTAAAATTAATTACTTTTTGAGTATTTTATTTTTAAATAGTTCAAAAATACATGTTTTGCCATTCTAATGCAATTTGTTGATAGTTGTCCTTTTTTCTTAAAGTATTAGGATTTTTATCGGTTAATTTTGTTTATATTATTTTTGTCACAGCCAGACGTTCGAATATTTGTTTATTTTTTTATAAGATCATTAAATCTATTAAATTGCATTTTTTACATGTCATTGATTACATTAATTACATTTTTCACAATCATTTTCTCTATTACATTTGTTAATATTTATTTTGATATTTTTGCACAGTCCAAAAATTCATACACATATATTTTATTAACAGCTGGTTTTGACACAATTTTAAAATAATGGTATTGGTAATTTTCAATTTCCTATATAAAGAATAGTTTAGTCATTGTAAAGGTGGTGAAATATTTTCAAACAAGGATTGAGAATTTTCAGATTTTTATTCATAAGGGTTTCATTTTTTATTTTTTTTCCGGTCACCACCACCCCAAAATTCGGCGAAGCTTAGTAAACCAAAAAATAATGGTTCCCTCTTCTTTCTCCTCTTCACCTCCATAATCCTCTTCATTTTTTGTTTCCTATTTATTACGGTGAAGACAGTCACCAGAACTCTACCAGCAAGCAGCTCTCAACATGCCTCCCGCAGTCACTGTTCCGACCAGCTCAGTCCACCACCCCAAAGACCTAGACCCTTCTTTCCTCTTTTCTGATGAACAACTAATATACACGTAAACTATCATTCCTTCTCCAAACTAACAGTGACAAATAGTTGGATTTTGAATCTGATTTGGATGAGTTAAATATGATTGGATAAAATAATGGTTTGGATTAAAATCTATCTAAATATAATATGAGCAAATATGATTTGGGCAAAATGATTTTAACCCATTTAAATATGTTTGTTTTTCAAAAAAAAAAATATACCCCTCCACACAAACACTCGCACCCCCTAGGGCACCCCCCCCCAAAGTTTTACCAACCTGCCCCTAAAATTTTTTTGTTTTTCCAAAAATATATTTAAAAAAATTGTCCCCTCTCCCGGGCACCCCCTCCCCCTCCCCCCACCTTCTATGAACCTACTTTTAAAAAATTTTTGTTTTTCAAAAACAAAAAATAATCTATATTTTTTTTTCAAAAAATTACCCCTCCCCCCGTGCACTCCCTACCCCCCCCCCCATCAACCTACCACTAAAACTTTTTTGTTTCCCAAAAACAAAAAAAATCTATTTTTCAAATAAAAAAGGGGAAAAGGATCAAAATTACTCCTCAACTTTGTTTTATTTGTTGAGTTTACCTTTGTTGTTAAAAGCAAGTTACTTTTACCCATGTCGCCAATAAACTTAATAAATATAACCCTCTTTTGATGGAAAATCCAAATCAGTAAAAGTTATCCGATTTTACTTAAATTATCAAATTTTAACCCGATTTAACTCACTTAATGATATAACCCATTTCTTTTACCCAAATCAACTTTGTTTTCACTTTGATGATAAATTGAGCCTTCCATAAGTACTAAAATAATTTAGTCACCAACTTAGGCTATGTGCCTCTTCATCAGTAATTGACCCGAGCGACAAGTGCACATATAGCCAATTTTGAGACCTCTATTAAGGTATAGTTGAACTTTACGAACTTTTGGAAGTTTAATTACTTCAGAATTCAATTAAAGTTTTGGGTAAAAAAAGAAGAAGATATCAAGTATAAATCTTTCAAGCATTACAAACCCCAGTGGCCCTTTTCTCATTCTTTCCATTTTAGTACATAAGCTTTTGTCTGTTAAATAGTTTTAATCTCACACACACACACACACACACACACACACCCACACACACACACCCACACCCACACGCACACGCACACGCATACGCACACGCACACGCACACGCGCACACACAGACACACAGACACACACACACACACACACTAAAGTAGTGCAAAATTAAACTTAAACTTTTCACAACAATAGTTCAAATCTCTTTTATAGAAACATAAGAAAGACTAAGTCTCTTTGTATCCATCTTCGACACATCAATATCATAGGGTCACAACCCATACATCATTTAAAAGGAAATTCTAAAGTCTAATACAATGTTTTTGGAAATGAAGACTAAACATAACTATGTCCTCGAATCATATGAGGACATACCAACTTGGCTTGACAGAATGTTATTCCCAAGATTCACTTCCAAGAGACTCTTCACTTGCCACCTAAACTTGTAGAGTAAACAACATATGAAATTATTACATTGAATGCACTAAAATATGGTGACATGCAATAAAACCATGCTAAAACAGAAATTTATTTATAACATGCTTTTCATACTCTTTTAGAGAAAATCTCATAAAACAAGTATAAGAACCACTTTCAAAACAACATACACATATAAGACATATTTAAGTAATCCATAAGAGACAACCATAGCCATTTAGAAGACACGTAAGCATTTTGACTCCCTACCAAAGGTTATCCTAAGACTTACTTAAGTAAGAGAAGAAAAGACCACCCATACACC